TATTGAGGCAAGAAATAGCAAAAAAATAATTGAAAGTGTAATAAAAATATGAATAACATTAACAACATATTCAATAAAAACGAAATAGAAAATAAGTTAAAAGATTTTAAAGAAGGCAAAGATTATTCAGTAGCCCGAGAAGGCAAAAAATTAATTTACAATTTCCACAATAATTGATTAAGAGATGAGTTTGGTAGAAATTACACTACTGTTTATGAAGTAGCTGAAAACTGGGATAGCGATAATTTTAACCACCACCGCGAGGAAGGAAAATATATCAATAATGATAAAGGCACGGAAATTACTTATCGTTATGAGCACCGAATAAATAAAAATGCTGATTATTATGCGGAATGAAGTTGAGGCGAAAATTTCGAGGATGGTTCAAAGGCCACTTGAACTCTGAGGGGAAGACCTAATCCAAAAAAAATAGAAAATGGTTTCGATGATGGATTTTTTCTACCCGGCAATTTCAAAAGTGATGAAGAATTAAAGCACCAGGAAAGGTTGAATGGAAGTCGTTTGCAAACCCTAGAAAGAGATAAAAAGGAATTTGAAGAAAAATTGACCCATTACGAAAGTTTGCCAGCAGAAGAGCGAAGGAATAAAGACACTCGTTCACTCCAAGACAAAATTAATTTTCTCAAAAGAGAGATTGAAGAAGAAAAAGATTGAATAAATCTCAATAAAGGACGAATGGGAAGAGATGAGGTTGGAAAATTAATAACTAATAAAGAGGATAACAATTCTGATTTACGAAAAGAAAACCAAGAATTGCGCCAACAATTAACGGCAGTCCAAAAACAATTGGCCGAAGTTTTGGAGGAATTGAAAAAGTTAAAGAATAATATCAATGGTAAAGGTAATGAAAAGTTAGAACAACAAATAGTCCAAAATGAAAAGTTGATTAAAGAAGGAAAAAATCTTTCCGTGGCTGAGGTTCAAGAGCAAGTTAATAAATCGCAAGCATTAATGAAAGAGCTTAATAATGTTTCCGCAACCGAAGATAATAAAGCTGGAAATGGTTCGTTTCCTTATGTAGTTGGTAGTTCAGTAATATTGGTTTCGGCGGGAATTATTGGTTATTTTCTGTTGAAAAAGAATCGAGGGAAAAAGGTTGCTTAATATTGTGAAAAGTTGGAGGAATTGGTTGATAAAGTGGGAGGAGGAAAGCCTCCTCCTTTTTAGTTTTAGAGAGGCAAGATAACTAAAAAGGAATTCAGTAAAGAAAAATAAACAAGGGAATTAGATTTTAATTAGTAAAAAGTTTAAAATAGTTTATATGGAGTAAAAGTTGTTACGAAGTAATCAATTATTATTCTATATTAAAACAAATTGCCTATGGTCAAAACAAAAGAGAGATATCTAGTTAGAATAAATTTTTAAAAATCAATCGCTACCTAATTAGATATAGGTGCTTAAAAGCAGAAGTAGTGGTTGGGAAAATTTAAAGAAAATAATAACAAATAAATATGACAAACACAAATAATCCAGAATTAGAGAAATTAGATAATTTCTTGATAAAATATGAAAAAATAATAAAAGAAGAAGTTAGCCGTTGTGATGAGAAGTTAGAATCAGTGGAAATCAACGAGAAACAAAAAACTGAACTCCGAAATAAAAAGCAAGAATTAGAAACGAAATTTGAGAAAGCACAATCTTATTTAGATAAAATTAGAATCCCTGAAAATCGTAATTTTATTGAATTAGGCCAACCAAAAAAATACTGAGGTTCGACCAAAGACTGAAAAGAACCAGTGTGCGAAAGATATGGTTTTAAATATGGCGATGATAAAAAGCCAATCACGCTTGATATTATTGAAGAGTTAAGCGAGCAATTGAAATTAAATCCAGAGGAGAATTTCTATGTGGCTGAAGAAGTATTAGAGCGGGAAGAAATAGGAGGAGGTATCACCCTGGAAAATAAAGATGAAATATTCTTAAAAAGTCATTTAATTGAAGAAGAGACTAATAAGGGGAAATTTATTGGAGTTGCTAGTGGAATTGGAACAGGAGCTGCCGGTGGAGCCGCAGCAGGTGCTGGTTTGATGGTTGCTCTCTCTCCATGGACGTTCGGTTTATCATTATCATTAATACCAACAGCTGCTGCAGTTGGAGCTGTTGCGGGAGGTTTAGGTGGAGGTACTACTGGTTTTATGGCTGGGCTTGCATTCGATAAGTTATCAAATTCAGAAAAAATTGAAATAAAAAACGAAATAAAAGGGCTTTTAGAGGATTATAAAACCATGATGGAGGAAAAGTCTCGCGGTTGTCAGGACATAATTAATAATGAGGTGTCCGAGTCGGGAGAAAAAGAAGAATCTCAAAAGCAAAAAGAAAATTATGATAATGAAGTTAAAGAAATAGTGGCTTACATAGAGAATAATAATAATTGATAAGTAAAATTTTCTCAGTAAAAATTGGGAGGGTGGTTCCCCCACTCTTTCCCAATTTCCCTATAAAATTATAATATATGAGTTAGTTGTTAGTCTCCTAATAAAAATAACAAAACATCAATAAAATATTTAATATACTTTTGAAAAATAAGTTGGTTTGCCTTTCCGCTTAATTTTGAGAGGTATATTTATTCTACTCTCTCTTTCTTTGAAAACTGAACGCAAAAAAGATTTTACCGAAATATAAGTTACTAAGAGTGTATGGTGG